TAATGCAGAATTCCATCCGATAAACCATGCTAAATATTCTACAATGAATAAGAACAAGCAAATCTCTTATAAGAATACTTTCGATTGTATACCTCCCAAAGCTAAAACAATTCAAATACAAATGTTCATGAAAGCAAAATACATATACAATCAGTAACTCACCTGCATAAGTATACGTATATACTGATCCAGAACTAGGCATCATTGCTCCTAATTCTGAATATGATAAAGACGATAATAGAGCAATAACGCCTGTTATAAGAAATGAAATGATGATCGATGGGCCAGAATATTTTGCAGCAACTTGCCCACTTAAGACAAATATTCCAGCACCTCAAAAGACCATTAAAAACTCTTACCACATATATTATTTTCAATCTCACTCACCGATAGTAGCACCAAGACCTATAGCAAGTAATTGAATCCAATTTAGATCATGTCTCAATTCATTTCGTGTGTCAATGTCAGTTTGTATTTTTATCATTGGTTTAGGTCTACTCAGTTGTTTAAAAAGAACTTGAATATAAGACAGTACTCGTCTACTTGCATCATGTTCTGATTGAACCGTTGAATTGTTAGCAACAGATATATCAGAAGACATAGAAAATTTTTGGTCAATTACAACTCTAGCGTAGCCTCAAATCTTATATTTGGTATATATATATATATATACATGTAATTTTTATGCGCAAAATAAACCATATATAAATAGGTATCACAATCGAAAAGCAAGACCTAAGTTCGAGAAATAAAAAGGAAGTAAACATGAGTCAATTAACTAACGGTTCATGAAGCAGACTATACAGTTAACAGTAACCTGGATATGCAAAAACTTCTAATGAAATGTACGATAGAAAAGACGCCATTATCGGCTGTCCTGTTTTTTTCTTTTTCTTTTTCTTTATCCTATTTCGGTTCTATGTTTTGTCGCATGTATTTCTCTTCTGGAAATGGAGAGACGATATGATTTAATTATGTATTTCTTTGACTGCATAAATCACGACCACGTTTCAATATAGAAATACACATATAACAAAAAAAATATTGTGTGTGTTCTATTTCATTAAATAGTCACTATTTTGATGGAAAAAATATCTTAACAATACGTGATTTTGTCAATCAGAATTAATAAAGCGTCATTTATTAGATCATACCTCTCATTTTTTTTTTGCGACAAGAGTCTCTGTTTTGTTTTGAATACTTTAGTTCTTTTCTAGATGTTAATTACTATTCTGTCTGGAAATTAATCAGTAATTATTCTTTCTATTTCGACTTTTCTTCAATAGACTATTTGTTATTGACTACAGATTTTGAAAAAATTTTAAATTTGTTCTTAGTGTAAAATACATTATAAAGAAAAAGAAATAAGTTAATATGAATCAGAAAACAAAAAAAAAATACATTCAACCAAGATCCAGATTCAATTTAAGTTTCAATTATTCTTAAATAAATGATAAATTTGA